CATCGCAAATTCGAATGCAAGGGTGTATAAATTAATTACACATTTAAAGTGCTTTTTTTTATTAATTTATCGTTATAATGTTATTGTTTTTAATTAACATCGCAAATTCGAATGCAAGGGTGTATAAATTAATTACACATTTAAAGTGCTTTTTTTTATTAATTTATCGTTATACTGTATTTATCTATGTAATAAATTATTTAAAATTATATAATTTACCGGTCATAATCCTAACAAATTAGTGAGTCCGGTAAGCAATAAACTTGAATCCTCGATAACAGAGCTTCCCTTCGTGGTAATTTTAAATTACTTCCGGTAACGATTAGTGTTGGCAGGCGAAACTTAGAGGTTTCGCCACAGACGAATGGCGAAATCTAGTTTCGACTTTCGCCAAAAAAAAATTAAAATGACGAAATGGCGAAAGGTGTCGAAATTGTGAAACTGATGAAACTGCTGAAAGGTGGCGAAACTAGAAAATAGTAGCAAAACTAGTGAAAGATTGTAAAAGTAAAATTAATAAAAAAAAAGCAAGAATTATAGTTAATTAATGCTTAGAATATACTAATTATTTTTATTTATATATTTATATTTATATGATATTATAGGTTACACGATCAGTTGTAACGTAAAATTATTGCTTTCTTTAAAAACCGTTTATAACTCAAAATTTCGCTTATTCAACCACCTTTTGGGTACTAATAAAAAAAATTCATTGCGAAATTTTGGTATAAATTCATCCCAAAAATCCCATTCCAAGCCTGCCCTTACACTAATTTTAGGATACGCTTAATTCTTTATTTTATGCAAATTTGGTGTTAACGAACTACTTACATACGTATGTAAAGTATTTAATTAAAATTTTTAACAATGAAATATTAAAAAGGAAAAATCTCAACAATTTAACAATAAATATTTAGATAGGTTTATTTTACATAAATAATATAAAACATATATAAGCGCTACTAAAAGAAAACAAGATTTTTAGGCTTTGAATTTTCATGGTTGAATTTACTTACTTCGAAGTTCCGAAAGCCGGAAATCTAGTTTTCTTTAATAGATGGCTCAGTCTTTTCTAAAGTCTTAAACGATTCGATCTTTGCTGAGTTTTGACTTTTCTCAGCTTTACCAGGGTTTCGCCAGAGTTTCACCTGGTTTCGTCTTTCACCATTTGCCAAAAACAGTTCCGCCTGCCAACACTAATTGAAATATTATAAAATGTGACTACAATAACTTATATCACAATTTAATTTTTTCTTTGACAACTTTCTCTACTTTTTTAAAAGAAATTTCAAGCACCCCATGCTCTAATTTAGGGTCATGATCTACGCCAATTCTTAAAAAAAAAAAAAAAAAAAAAAAAAACTAAATACTTTAATCTTAATTATTTGGAAAATTTTTTAAATCTTACCGTATGGTAGCAAAATCATTACATGTTGCTTTCTATAGGGAAGTTGTTCAATAATTTTTTCATGTCCATGTAAATTTGCCGTGATATTGTATCTGGCATACAACAGGTATTTAGAATTTTTGTTGATGGCTAAAGAGGCCTCAATTTCTGATTTGGATTTACGCTTGGTGTAAATATTTCAATAATAAATAACATAGATTAAAAACAATAAAAAAAATACATACCAGTTTTTATAGATATTATAACATCCGTTGTTATACCACTTTTCAATTTTTTAAATTTTTTAAATTTTTTAAATTTTTTAAATCGAGTAAATTGGTAAAATCGAACTAATCGACAAAATTAAAGAAAATGAAGAAATGAATTAAATTAGTTAAATTAATAAATTTATTCTAATGTAATAAAAAGTATATAAGCGTTTATTATCTACCTTCAATAAAGTTAACTTTGGAGTTCGAAAAACCTTCGAAATAAGAGTGGAAGTGTTTGTCTCTAACCCGTTATACCTTTTTTATTAAAAATCGTTCGTCGTTATCGTATTTTCTTGTCCCTGTGACTTTCAAATATCGTATTGTCGTATTTAGTAAAAAAGAGCAACTGTATTAGTAAATACCAGCTCTTATCGTTATATATTAAACTCGATCCTAAGTTTCTGATTAAGTTTGTGATCAACGTCATTATACCTGATTTGTGAATCTGTGATACCGTGACCTTGCACCACATTCTGATTGGCCAAATTTGATCACGAGACTTAGCCGCAGTACCTACGAAAAAGAAGAAGTTATTAGCGAAGGTGCTAAAGAAAGTAGAATACTTAGTAGAAAATAAGAGGGCACTTATCTGAGTCCAGTACTATCTCTACCCACCCAATTAAACGAAGCCTTGCCAATATTAGGGTTTGGTTAAAGTAGTCTTAGTGTTCTAGTTAGAGTAGTTTAGTTAGTATTTTTGTAGTTATATCGACCAAGTAACGTTTCTGACGCAGCAAGACTCACACAGATTTGGGGGCCGGCTAAAGCGGAGTTAATTCAATATATGATCTACATGCTGCATAAATTACATTCTTGATATCTATATTACCCACTAACCATAACTGCGTCAAAAAGGTAACCCTAAATTTCACTCTGCTTTAGCTGACCACCAGATTTGGAAACCCGACATTTTTCAAAATAATTTCGGCGTTTTATATATAAAACAAAACCTGTGTGACATGCTCAGTTACTTGTTTATTTTTATTTAGCATTAGGTATTACAAATATCGCTTTTCTGTTGAATTTTCTTTCTCTCACATATGGGATCACCGACCGCATGGAATGTTAGCGACATATCAGAACATTTAGAAGTAGATGAGCTAAAAGTTAATTATATAGGTCTAGGAAAATGTTGGTCAGATTCTGTAATGATACTAACAAATAACCCAATCCCACAATGTAAATTATTTTATTTTGAAGTTAAAATTATAAATGAAGGTGAAAATGGAATTATTGGAATCGGATTTTGTACTAAAGAATCTATGTTAAATATGATGCCCGGATGGAGAAATAATTCTTGGGGCTATCGTGGTGACTGTGGAAATATTTTTTGTCATTCAGAAAGTTGCAAGCCTTATGGGCCACTTTTTACTACTGGTGATACTATTGGGTGCTGTTTAAATTTTGAACATAAATTTGTATTTTTTACAAAAAATGGTGTACATTTAGGAATTGCATTCAAAGATAAAGATTTTACGGTAGTTGACCTTGAATTGTACCCTTGTATTGGGTTGAGATCACGAGGCAGTTCTATTGAAATAAACTTTGGTCATCAAAATTTCGACTATCAAGCATTCACTGATAATGACATTGAAGATGAACCGCAAAAGTTACATTGGAAACCTGTTTTAATTATGAGCAATTATGAATCTTTAAACAAACAGAAAGATTCATTTGCGGAATTGTCAATGTCATTAGGAACCAACCCAATATATAAGGAAAAGATTAATTTTATTACAGGCACTTTTACTGATGAATATTTCTTCTACTGCGCATTAGATTCGGATAATGCATCCGTGTTAAGATATCAAGGAGAAATCTTACACATAGTAGGAAAATATAAAAATTCACTTAAATTTTTTGAAAAAATATTAAAGATAAGACCAAATGACGTGTGGGCATTAAAGGCATGTGAAGAAATAAAGAGAAAACTTAAACAAGACGAATTGGAGAGGGAAAAAGTCTATTATATGCAACAAAATTACCCAGAAGAAGAGGAGGAGAAAAAAGAAAGAATTAAAGAAATTGAGAAAATAATGTGTATTGATGAGGAAAACATGATGCATGAACAAATTGAGAAATCAATTGATGATTTTTTGATTACGAGAATAAAGTTTTTGAACAGTTCGGAAAATGAAAAAAATTATATGGATTTTGAGAATTTGGGAGAATCAATGCCTAGGTCTTCAAAAAACGAAAAAGCTGAAATATATTGAATCTGCTGTAGTTTATTTTCCCATGTAAACGTTTTAAAATTATTTATCATATATTTAGAAAG